AGCCGATTTTCTAGAAAATATGGGAACCTCAACGTCTCACAACCCTATGGGCCTTCACGGTATGTTACAGGGATACCTTTACTTACTTTTGTAGCGAGATCTGTGCTCATTCTGGTGACAGAATTCGAAGCTTCTGCTGCCTTTTTATTCTCAAATTCCGTTTCTCTCAAGTTCATCTAAATTTTACTCTCCCATTTCCTTCTGCTAAGTCTAGTCTTTTCTAAGCAGTTTCATTAAGAGAACGTGGCATTACTTGCTTACATTCTAAGGTCGCGTTTAGCTAGTTCTGCCCTCATACGTTTCACAGAACGGATAACTGTAGTAGAATCCTGGGAACTATGCAATTCGCTTAGCATAATGTCCTGAATTATTCACGAACATCATCATCCTTCTTATATTTACGTAGTGGATATACTAATAAGTTAAAGAGTTTGTAGCTTATTCGCGTGTTCATTAGTCCGGTACGTAAAATGGAACTTTGTCTGATGTAGCTCATAATTTTGAAACTCCGCAGGTATAATTTTGTCATGCTGTAAATTGATTTTATTTTGTCTTGCTTCATAACTATGTAATCTCCGTGTGTAAACGTTTGGATGTAATTTTACGGCACGCTTTTACACGAAATGTGACTCAAGTAGAAATATACGCACTTAAAAGTGTCAGTGGAAATTCATTATACTAAAATATAACATTATGTTTGTCATAAAATGCTGATCGTAAATCTCTCTCATAAATTACACGTGTATCACTAAATATTTATCATACTGTGTTCTACCACTTTCAAAGAATGCCAGTGATCATCATTCCTAATCCTTAAGTGTTATGATGAGTTCCTTAGACTGGTAATCCTAAGGTTTAATACCGTCTTGCTCAGTTTTTCTAGACATTTGTTCGGATCTGTTCCCCGCTGTATCCTAATACAGCTAATTTAAGCAAATGTTACGCACTGTGTGACCTGTGCAGTGAAGTAGCATTTGAAGTTTTCATGAAACACTTCGGTCGAACTGACCAATATAAGCTGACAGCTTCTAATAGAGTGTCAGATTCTTCTCATTCAATCATAGTTTAATTTGAACTTCCGATCAACAAATTAATAGGTTTTAACGACGCTTTTTTAACAAATATTCTATGAATTGATTATGGAATGATCATGCGAAACGCAGCCGGGATATTTAGAAGAAGTCTTCAAGCCTGTTTTAAGATGCCATCACAGTGATCGCATAGGAGTGGAAAAAACATAGAAATACTTGTTACTCTCAGCAGCGCCCCCATCAAGATTAGAATGGATTACCTTAGAATGCAAGCCAAATGTTTTATCACAGATAAAATCTGATCCATCCGGCTCCTTTTTAGACCTTGACTATATAAATTACGGGGCACGCGGTAGCGTTGTGGTTCAGGCACTATGCTACAAGCCGAATGGTCACGGGTTCGATTCCCGATGAAATTATTGGAATTTTCAATTTATCTAATCCTTCCAGCCGCACTATTGCCCTGGGGTCGACTCACCCTATAACAGAAATGAGTACAAGGGATCTTTTTGGGGGTAAAAGGCGGCCGGCGCGTAAGTCTGACAACCTTACGCAATCTGTGAGCCAGTTATCTAGATACTGTGGGAACCTCGATGTCCCACAGGCCTATGGGCCCCACGGCCTTCTTACAGGAATATCTTTAACTTTATATGAAATACGGCCCGCAAAAAATTCAATCCCGCAGACAGAGTTGTTGCGATATTATTAAGAACAAGACTTCAATTTTATTTTTCATGCTCAGTGTAGCAAAAGGTAAGGATATCGCTGTAACAGAACGTGGAGGCCCATAGAGTTGTGAGACGTCGAGGCTCCCATATTTTCTAGACAATCGGCTCACAGATGGCGGTTATGTTGTCAGCCTTTGTCGCCGGCCGCCCTTTACCCCCAGACTCCTAATACTCATTTCTGTTAGAGGCTGAGTCGACCCAAGCTCCATGGATTAGGTCAATTGAAAAAATCCACTTAATCTGGGTTCGAACCCGCGAATTTCCGGCTTGGAGCATGGTGCCTCAACTAACTAGGCTACCGCGTGCCTCCGCTCAGCGAAGAGACAACAGTTTTACCGGTACCTCAAAACAAACGAGAAAAACGATAATCGTGATTTTGTAGAAAAGCTATACTTCGGGACCTCTGAAACGTCTGCGAGCATGCAGTATTAGCAGTTGCTCCAAACTTTCAACCGGTGCTGCGGTTAAATGCATATGGCGCCTCACCTCTGCTGTCCTTACACCTCCATATCGTAATGTTTATAAACATATGAAAATCTCTATCTCATCTTTGTCACAAGCGGTTCTTAGAGGATCTAATGAGATCGATTCGATTTTTTGATTTTATGTTTGTCTTAATACCGATCACAGTTTCTGATGCTGTGTGCAAATTAACAATTAATAACGTTTTTTGTGAGCTTGTCTTATCTATAAACTACGTTCAGTTGCTATGGACAATTGTTACGTACGTAACTTGTTTTTTAACTATAGAATTTTTGTCGAGGTTATCTTCGAACTGCTGTCAGGTATAGTTCCATTCGTCCTCAGATTAAAAATAATTGCTCAATGTTGTAGAGAGAGTTCAAAATATAAAACTTAATTACTTCATTCAAAGAGTTCGGTAATCCCATATTTCTTTACTACATGTATTTGTTTCTCCGGTTGAGGTTTTTCTAATATACATATTCATTGACAAGCCTGTTAAAAATCTTTCTCCAATTGAGTTTTGCACTTTTATCACCATAAAAGCACATGTGAGTTTCCATGTATTTATTACATTTTTTTTTATAAATTCGCTTAGTGGGAGGTGGAGTCCAACTGGGTCCACTCGGCACGCGGCCACTAATTGGCCTATTGTACCTGCCCCGGGTGATTATGATGCTGGAGAATTTGGTGGAGTGAAGATTGGCATGGGAAACCGAATTACTCGGAGAAAAGCCGCCACACCACCACTTTGTCCACCACAAATCCCACTTGGCCAGATCCGGGATCGAACCCAGGCCGCCGTGGTGGGAAGCCAGCGACTAACCGCTTGAGCTATGGCGCGGTCTATGTATTTATTAAATAATAGTTAGGATTTCTGACAAGGGATCGAACCGCTAACCATTATCTTCTTTTAATCATCTTGTTAATACTGTATTGTACCTTCGGGTCCTATAAAAGTTTGGCCGTTTCTTGAGTATTTTTGCGAGTGTTACCTTCCGTAGAATAACTCTGCTTCATCGCTTCAGTTGCGTAGATTCATTGCCATCAAACGTTGGTTACTGAAAACAATATGTGAGATAAGGCGAGAGCTTTATATTTCCATGTAAACTGCACATGGAGCATGGGATGTTGTGTCCGGAACAGCTTGGCGGAAATTGGTATGGTCCCCCACACTGAAACAGCTATGGTCTATATTTCGTACAATCTCGTTTGCTCTTCTCAGTGACAGCCAGTTAGTTCAGAGCATAACGTGTCTTCAACTCGTCTCATCGTATACTGAATTCCGGGATTGTCTGTTCGTTTTATGTATTCCATTATGTATGACAGTGCTTCATAATGTATGCTGAGATGGCTTTTAAAACATTTATATGTATCTTAAAAGAAAGGATGTGTGGAATTAAACTGGCTCATGATAGGTACTAACCGCATGGGTACATAGGAAATGGAAATTGTAAGACAGGCCTGGACCTTGACCTACCCAGTAACTTAACAGTTTAATTCACATGTACGTAACATCAGTTTAACATTTAAAAAACTCGACATTTTACGGAATGTACTTGTTTCATATGGTTTCCTTAAACAGCATTAACCGGTTTATCTTTGTAAGGGAATCTAAATGCATTTTGTATGAGATAAGTGCTGACTTTTTAGATATTGTTAGATGGACTTAGGCTACAAGGAATTAGAATTATCCTAGTTTACACCTCCTTGCATTCTAACGTGAATCAGCGGTACGACAGAACCCCTTTAAATAAATAATTCCTGGATTTTGTATCTTAGCATCCTCTTACAGTTTATGTTAGAATTTTCAGTTTCATTTACCTTTCCCCATGCATCATCCGATCCCATATATAAAGGACTAACAGTTCCACAGCACACTCATAACATTCACACTTCACACTTGATAAGAAGCAGGCATATAAAAAATAATTAAACATTTAACTGCATTAACAATACACAACTTAAATATATTCTATACAAATAAAAAAACTAACACAACCTATTGTTACACATTACAGAGGTAATATATGTGACATAGAAGGAGAATCTACACTGACTTTATAAGATTTGAAGTTTTCACGGCGGTGACTATGAAAAAAACAGTCTTCTGGGATGTGGCGCCGCGTAGAAGTTGTGTTAACCGACGTTTCGGAGGAACGTATGGCCTCCATCTTCAGGGCAGAAGACAAGAAGAAATCCGCGAGCGAACCAGCTTGAGCCGAAACACGGCGCCACATCCCAGAAGACTGATTTCTTTACATGGACTTTATTTAAAAATATTTTAAATTCGAAAACACCGATCACATTGAGGAAGGCACAGAAGTTCCGCCGAAATTCAACGCGCCTGTTTATGGCCGAGTGGGCAGAAACATATAGTACAGGGACGAATTTTAAAAAGGATTTAAAAAAATAATTTTAAATCCTGATATTGATGATCGGCAGACGGCAAACAAAACTAAAAACTATTAACCCCCTACATATCGTATCATATGTTATAATGATGAACAGTTTTCTATAGAGGGGTTAAGGCGGCGGGGGATTCTACGCTTGTATACTTTATTTGTAGGTGCCATGAACATGGTGTCCCACTTCTTTGTCTCAAGGTACTGTAACTTTTCACATTAGTCGGGTATCACGCTTTACTTCATATTTCAGATCACTTCTGATACATTTAAATTTATCAAATTTGTATGATCAGTTCCACTGCTTAGAAAAATTTGTCACACAAATAAAACAGAGTTCACAAAGTAAATTATTTAATTCGTTAGCAACTTACCTAATGTGAAGAATATATCTGTCCTTCTTCGTTGTTTCTGTTCAGCTCTCTTCCGTTTACCCACGTTCTTGATTATTTTCTCGGGGAGTTAAAATCTTCTTTGATATGCGTAATATCAGCAGATTATTCAGCAGATATTCGGTTTCACTTATAAATAATTTATAAAAGTTATTCAAGAAAGTTTTAATACCGTACTTTATGAAGATAATGTTGTATATTCACTCTCGGACACCGTTCAACTGACTTAAGTATGTCACTCATTTGTATTCACAGATTCACTGATATCGACATATTGACATGTTTTGAAATATTACACATTTTCATTAACATAGAAGCCCATATGTTTATTACACTAAATTTATACTTTTTATAAATGTTTTTAGATATATAGATCTGCAGTCGCCTGATTACTAACATACAATCTAATTCACGCGGGGAAATACATTTTATGTTAGAGTAAAATTGTATGTAATGTAACCATACTAACACTACGATAGTTGTGAAGTACCTGGAAGTTTATAAGGAGCTATCCCGTCTGTTTGCCTTTAAATACTGAACAGTTTCTGTGCGTATGTTTGGAGAACCTAGTTCATGGTAATGTACTATGTCGTGAAGTATCGGACGCGCTAGGAGATGTCGGACCTTGCGACTAATGAAGTCGTGACAGCATTGGTGCCCGGTGTGTATATGTTGCGCGTTGGCTGCTGGACCTCCCGTCCCACAAGTAGGCAGACAGTCGTCGGCGCTCACATCTCATTCTCCCGCGCAATTTGCGAACATATCCGACAACACACGATCTCTCTCGAATATCACTAGTTCAATGAAATCAACTGAAATTCCGATATTGTGGTTACAATTTTAGTTCCTTTCTCCCACGCACAGAATGGTTGACAGCATTATATCAAAAAGAATCAAAGCCCTCTCGTACTAAGAGAGCTAAGTCAGTAGTTTTCTAAAGCGAGAGAACGTGAAACTATTAAAAGTGTCTGTATTGTCCAAGGCGTGTATGTTGTTCACTCGGACACTACAGTCGTGGTTCGACTCCCGTTTCAGACAGGAAAATGTATCCACTTTGTTCTATTATGCAGAAACATTGCTCCATTTATGGGCTTTGTCGGAAGTGTTTAATTATTTAATTACCGCGTCTTGAAAACATACGGGGGAGTGGCGGTATAACTCTAGTAATTCTTAATGGTGAATAGTCGTCTTCACACCCTTTCCGCTTCATTCCTGGTGAGGGAGGCCCCGACACCCATGGAGTAGGAAGTTTGGTAGGCCCGAGAATCGACGCCCTGAAGGACAACAAAATATCTCGCCTCTGCTTGGAGTCAAACTCAAGTTCCCCGACCGTCCAGCCCGTGGGCAGTCATTATACGCCTGAGTTTTTCCGGGTCCTGAAATAAATTATAGCAGAAAATAAATTTGTGCACGGTTGACTAATATTTATAAAAGAGAAGTAAAGAGAAAAAGAAACGATTGAGTAGGTTAACTTTATAGAAATCGAGAGCAGTTTATAATCTGCAAGGAGTTGAGGCATGTCTGCATAGTTTGGAACATGTTGCTGTTTTCGTGATTGGTTTTGTATACAATTCTTAATCATTTTACGAAACACTAAACGTTTTTTAATATGACATATATTTGGCATTGCCTAGAATATCTGATATTAAATTCTGCCTCTAACGCTTATACATTATATATTAGAGGCTTCTGATGTTAAAGGTATTATTATTTTATTTAAACTGCAAATGGGTTTTTGCCCGGTGGCAGTGGTACTACAATAAGACAAAACACACAAATACAGACACAACACAAAATAACACACCACACTCAAACAAATCACAGCACACAAAACTACACAAGCAATAACGGTCACATTACACGCAATGAATACAATGCAAATACAATTACAACTACAATTAAATAAATTGATATTAATAAGAAAGTAAGTTACTGTACACTAAACAGTAACAGTAATTAAATACATAATGTCACGAACTGATGCACTCACATTTCACCATGACTTTCCCTTCGTTCCACTTCACTACACTTACGTGCCCTTCGCACTTTCACTTCCCTTCACTTCACTTCACTTTACTTCACTTCACTTCACTTCACTTCATTGCCTTTTTAATGATTTCTCCCACACCTTCACTTCGCCTTATTTATCACTTTCCTAACCCTTTTCATAAAATTATTTAATTTTTAGGATAGGGTCCCTAAAATATCTGCAGGCAGTTGGTTCCAGAGCTGGATGGTCCTATTTGCAAAGGAATATTTTCCCTTATCTCTCTTTCGTTTTCTGCTCCTAATTTTCCTATCATGGTCGACCCTGCTCAGATAGCATGGTTTTTGTAACCTATCACCTACAGTCTTCCAAGCCCGTTCTCCCGTGTACGCTTTGAAGAGAGCATATATACAAGTTATTTTTCTGCGCTGTGTCAAGGTTTCCCAGTTCGAATCATTTCTGTGATGTGCAAATTTAGCTGCCCTGTTTTGCAACCGGTCTAGCGCATTTAGCTGTCCGTCCCTGTAAGGATCCCTGCACGCCGCCCCACTTTCAAGAATCTGACTTACTAATGATGTGTAGGCTAAACTTTTGGTGTTACTGTTTCCCTTTTTGAGAATATGCATTGTAAAATGAAGTGCTTTCCAATTTTTTTTTACCTTGATTAGCCCAACTTAAATCGTGCCGTAAAATTATTCCCAAGTATTTACAACTGCTGGTAGCCGAGCGGTCTAAGGCATGCACTGTCTTCGCTCGCTCCGAAGCCGGGATCGTGGGTTCAAATCCCACTCAGGGCATGGATGTTTGTGTGCATTCTTCTGTGTTTGTGTACAGGTAGAGGCCTTGCGACGAGCTGATCACCCGCCCAAGGAGTCCTACCGAATGTGTAAGATGTAGAAAAACCGAAAATGAACGGAGAAGTTCATGGAGGTAGGCCTAGGCCCACTGGGGCTGTAGTGCCAAAGGAAAAAAAAAATATTCCCAAGTATTTACAACTGCTGGCTTCCGGAAATACTCTGTCCCGTAACGAATAATTTAGTGGCTCCCTCACTCGGGCTCTCATGAGACAAACTTCCGTGCTTTTAGCTGGATTAATTATTATCGCATTTTCAACTGCCAACTCATCCCAGCTTGTTGAGATCTGTCTGCAATTTTTACATATTTTTATGAAATATTATACAGTCATCTGCGATAAGTCTTAAGAGTTGACTCAATATATTTAAGCACGCAAGGAACAGTAGTAGACCCAAGAAGAGTCATATAACGACTTTTATGTATTTCATAACTTCTTCTGTTTTATGCCTTGCATCTAATTAATGAAAAGGTAAAAAGGTAAATTAATCCATGTGCTTAACTAAATAAGCACTGCCATGAGAATATATGGGGGAGTGAATCTGTAGATCCATGTTTTGTTGACCTCGGCACTAGTCGAAGGTGAGTGGTCAGCGTCAGGCCCCGGCCGTTTTACCTCCGGAAAAACACGCCCCCCAATGCCCGTTGGATAGGAGGCTGGGTGAGCCCCAGATCCGGTCTGGATGCTGCGGAGAAGAGAAAGTTCTTGACCCTAACGGACTCGAATTTCGACTTATGTCGTCCAGTCGCACTACCGACTGCGCTTAAATAAGTTGACAAATATACGAAATGAGATGAACTCGTGGATGAAATACTTGTATGGACAAACAAAGAATGTTTTATTTTACTTTCATCATACTACAATGTTCTTTTAATTTCTTCTGCAAAAATTAAGGACGTAAAGAGAATTTTTTCTTTGAACCATTAGAGTAGGGTGAATGGAACCTTTAGCGTTCCAACAGTTTACGTAGGTCTAACTCACTGTACATAAAGCACGAATTAACTTTGATATGGTCTCTATTTCTGTTACAGAAGTGACCATAAAGGCTGCATGGTCGTTCGCGGTAGCACATTAGCACAAGTGTAAGAAAACTTTATAGAGATGTGTGGACACCTTAATAATCTCAGATATTATTATATCTCACTCCTCTGTTGTTGATCTTTATCTTATTAAAAGAGATTTCATGCATTCACGAACATTGAATCCAGTGGATCATATATTGCTTTAACAAAAGTTGCACCAAATTGCTTGTGTAAGTGGAAAATTGGAGAGGCGTGCGTGTGAATGAAACAGGCTGTGCTAATAAGAACGCGCGTTTCTGGAAATGAGTAGACGAGTAAAATGGATGTAGGCATATAGTTAGTTAGTTAGTTATTGGAGAGGGTGGGTTTCCCCATGCACTTTGACCTGTATTGGTCCATTGTGCTTCCCTCTATGATTTCTACCAGTTTCTATATCCTACCGGTATTGGTGCTTACCATCAGTCCCGCCCAGCCAGCGAGACCGGCTCTACTAGCTGAGAGGTATCTATAATGCTTCCCCCATCTACCAGAGGTATTAGAGACTGCTGTTGGGCGGGAAACGTCCGTAATTTGGCTCAGTGACCTCCTTTGGAGATATGAGGTTCTTTTACGTGCCGTAAAGCTACGACACGGGACCCACGGCTTAAAGTCCCTCCCGGAGGACTTGTTCCCTGAATTTTTCCGCCCTTAAAAATTCGACGACCTCCGCCGGGTATTTGAACCCGCGTACTACGAGTCATGAGGTGGTAACGTTACCTCTAGACTACGGAGGCCGTTTTGCAGCATATAAATCGGTATCAATGAACTATGTAATTGCCTAAGAGGAGGTCCTTATCTCACCGAATCTTATGTGGAGGGACTCTGCTGTATCATATTCCCGACTAAAAGTAATTTAATTGGTATCATTTATTGTGCGTAAAATTTATGGGATTTTCTGAGATGCGGGCTGGCTTGCAATGTGATAATGTTCTGAAATCGTATTCATGAGGAAATCACTTCGAATATCTTTCAGGATACCAACTGTTAAGACTGAGACCTTTCAAATTTTTTCTCATTCTAGCTAGGCGATTAAGTCGAAATTATTTCTTTCACATGCCCCAGTCTGTGTGAAAAGAGCATAACAAATAAACTCCATGATTTTAGTCCGCAAGCTAACTATACCGACCGAGCGACCGCCGCTTGTCGGCGAAGTTAGTGCCAACTTTTGCGGATAGAGGGTGTCGCGTGGTCAGCGCAACGAATCTCCACGGCCGTTAATCTCGGTTTTCTAGACCGGAGCTGCCATTTCCTTGAAATAGCTCCTCAATTATCACCACAAAGCTGAGTGGACCCCGTTCCAGACACACTACTTCTCAGAAAAAAATCTGGTAGCTCCGGGAATTGAACCCGGATCTCTAGCCAGGAACGTTGACCACTAGACCACAGAGGCGGTCGAAAATAGTATAAATAATTATGAAATAATAATATATCATTAATTTACGTATTTCTATGCATAATTTGCTAATACGTAGCGACAGTTTCTGACTGTGTTGAATTTTCCAGATGTAATAATTTAAGTTTTGTAATGTTACAGTTCTGATGCGACATCAATATGTAAGCTGAAGTTACTGGATGTGTGTATTATGTGTCTAGATGTAAAATGTTGCGTGCCTAACCACACGTTTTCGTTGGTTACTGCCATCGATCCGAAATCTAAACATTCATCTCACGCGATCGCCATTTTACAAACAGTTTTCTGTTCAGAAAGTTTTTTTTTTCCGAATACCCGCTCACGCAATTAAAAACTACAATTTAGGGCGCAAATGTTCGCTCCGTTCACACGTTCCCCG